GAGGGGCTGCCGGAGCCGGGAGCCTGCCAGGGCAATGCCCGGCACCGGGAATGCCGCGTCGGGCTGTGATCCACGGCACGGAGGGGCTTCCGGAGCCGGGAGGCTGCCAGGGCAATGCCCAGTGATGGGAATGCTGTGTTGGGCTGTGATCCGTGGCACCGAGGGGCTGCCAGAGCCGGGAGCCTGCCAGGGCGATGCCCAGTGATGGGAATGCCGTGTTGGGCTGCGATCCATGGCACCGAGGGGCTGCCGGAGCCGGGAGGCTGCCAGGGCGATGCCCGGTGATGGGAATGCCACATCGGGCCGCGATCCTGTGCCACATGCGGGTGCCTCAGGCTGCAGGAAGGGGATCAGGACCCACATCCGCGGGCATGGGACGCCCCAGGCTCCCGGGGGACCCCGGCTGCCCATCCAACCCCCGCGTCCCCTCCGGCTGCCGGTGGGCGCCAGCAGTGCCAGCTCCGGCACTGGCACAAGTCGGGAGCTTCCCGCTTCCAAGGGAATGATCCCTTGGGAGTCCCCTTCCCAAGGGAACCCGCGGCACTCGGCGGCGCCGGGACCGTGGCTCCGCGTCCGCCGCCCGGCGACGGAGGGACCCGTCTTTGTCCGAGGGAGAAGGGAAAATTTCACGGCGCGCCGCGGAATTCCAGCCGCGTCCCAGGAGCTGGTTCCAATATCAAAGGCGTTTCCTGAAGGCGTTTCGGATTCGGAGCCTCCGTGAGGTTTGAATGCCAGAGAGAGATGGTAAAGGTGAATCCGATAGCTTGGCAGGAAAGGCAGCTTGGAAGACGTGCTGCTGTTGGAAAGGAAGGAAGCGGCTGCGGGAGGCTGGAAAAAGCCGAGCCGGAGCAGGAGGCGCCCGAGCCCGGAGCCTCCGGGGAGGCCCTTGGCCTCCGGAGCTCCCGCTGCGTGCGGTGTTTCCCTTGGGATAATAGGGGCGGGCACAGAGTGGTTGAGGKTGGTGGGGATCCCCAGGGACACCCGGAGCGCCCGGGCGCATCCCGGCGCGTYGGGAGCTCTCCGGAGCAGGAGCCTCCCCGCGCAGCCTCACCCAGGGCTCGGCCACCCTCACACTCACCTTCTTCTTCCTCACGGACACACGGAGCTGCCGGGCTTCA